TTATACACTGTCCAAGGGTAATTAGAGGGCTGCTACGTGCGCGGCCGCACTCCGTCCGTGCTCAGGCCGCGCTCACAAGGCAAAATACTTTCACATATGCGCGGCCGCACTCCAGCCGCGCATCTGACGTAGGTCTGGTGAAATGGTCATAACTTTCAGTATATACTTCCAAATGACAAACGGTTTGATGCATTGGAAACTAGACTCAAAGAGCTTTAATTTTATATTTTGTGCATCACACAAATCCTTATATATATGTAGATATGATCATCCAAAGTGAGGTCTTATGCGTACCCGCTTGCAGCTTTAGTCTAGTATGAAATTTCCCAACTTGACTTAGACTTAGGACACTCCTTAAACCCCGTATCACTTATAATATGCATAGTACACTTATTATCATATCCAATTGATATCCATCATTTTATTATTCCTCGTCCACACACAAAATAATATAATTGGAACACATCGACTTTCTAACTATGCGCTGAATTATTCTACGAACTTCCCACTCCAATTCCGGACATAAGCCTGAGTCCTAAATCACCATACGAAGCTGCTCGAGGTCTTAAGCCGTTCAACATGATGTAAATTCTTAAAGCGATAAGTCGGATCGTTACAGTTACATAAGAACTGTAAAGCATGAATTTAGCAGCAAATACGGGAAAAAGGACCGTATTATTCAAAACGACCGGCCGGGTCATTACATCCCCAGACCATCAAAAATGATCTAAGGAACAATAGTCACCGTCACATCATAACCATTCCTCGTTTTTGGCGTTTTAGGACCATAAAATGGAATTTCGCCCTATTCTCAGATTTTTGCGTGTTATAGCCCACGCTTCCATGAGTATGGGCCTGGGCCCTCGGACCTTGATCATTTAATATTTTTTCGTGCCATAAAAAATGACCTAAGCAACAATAGTTACTGCTCCACTATGATCGTTCCTCTTTGTTTGGCATTTTAGGGCTACAAAAATTGGTATTTCGCCCGATTCTCAAATTTTCGTGTGTTATAGCGCATGCCTTTCGCATGGGCCCGGGCCCCCAAAATCGGATCGTCTAATATTTTCCCGTGCTATCAAAAATGACCTAAGGAACAATAGTTACCACCCCATCATGACCGTTCCTCGGCTTTTTGCGATTTAGGGCCATGAAACTGCAAATTCGCTCGATTCCCAAATTTTCTTGTGTTATATCCCACGCCTTTCGTACAGGCCCGGGGCACTGGCTTCCGGATCCAGATCGCCTAAATATGTTTTAGTCATCAAAAATGACCTAAGGAATAATAATCACCGTCTTGCCACTCGTTCCTCATGTTTTGGAGTTTTAGGGCCATAAAAATGGAATTCCACCCGATTTCAAGATTTTCGCATGCTAAAGGAAAAGCCTCCCACATGGGCTCGGGCCCCCTGACCTATATCGTCTAAAAAATTTCGTTCCATAAAAACGACCTAAGAAATAATAGTTACCGCCCCACCATGATCGTTCCTCGTATTTTGGCTTTTTAGGGCTATAAAATTAGAATTCTGCCCGATTCTCAAATTTTCGTGTGCTATAGCACACGTCTTCCGCATTGGCCGAGGCCCCCGGATCCGTATTGCCTAAAAAATTTGGGCCAACAAAAATGACCTAAGGAACAATAGCCACCACCCGCCATGACCGTTCCTCTTTCTTTGGCATTTTAGTGCCATAAAACTGGAATTTCGCTAGATTTTTAGATTTTCATGTGATGTAGACCATGCTTTCTGCATAGGCACGGGCTCATGGATCAGGATCGCCTAAAATTTTCCTGGGCCATCAAAAACGATCTAAGAAACAATAATTATCGCCCCTCCATGACCGTATCTCGTTTTAGCATTTTAGGGCCATAAAGCTGGAATTCCGCTTGATTTTCTAAATTTTCGTGTGATATATCCAACGCCTTCCGCATGGGATCGGGCCTCCAGACCCGAATCACCTAAAATTTTTGCGGACCATCAAAAGCGACCTGAGGAACAATAGTCACCGCCCTGCCATGATTGTTCCTCATTTTTTGGACATTTTAGGGCCATAAAATTGGAATTGTGCCCGATTCCCAGATTTTCGTGTGCTATAGCACATGCTTTCCGCGCGGGCCAGGACTCCCAGACCTGGATCTCTCAAGATTTTCCCTGTCAATAAAAACGATCTAAGGAATAATAGTCACTACACTACCATGATCGTTCCTCGTTTTTTAGCGTTTTAGAGCCATAAAACTGGAGTTTTGCTCAATTTCCAGATTTTCGTGTGCTATAGCCCACGTCTTTCGCATGGGCCCAGGCTTTCGGGCTCGGATCACCAAAAAAAATCCGGTCCATCAAAGACAACCTAAGGGACAATAGTCACCACCCCGACATGACCATTACTCATTTTTTGGCATTTTATGGCAATAAAACTGGAATTCCGTCCAATTTCCATATTTTCGTGTGCTATAGCCCACACCTCCGCATGAGCCCGGGCCCCCGGACCAGGATCGCCTATAAATTTTCAGGGTAATCAAAAATGACCTAAGGAACAATAGTCATTGTCCCGCTTTGACTGTTCCTCTTTTTTTGGCGTTTTAGGGCTATAAAACTCTAATTCAGCCCGATTCTCAAATTTTCGTATGCTATAGCACACGCTTTCCGCATGGGCCCGTGCCCACGAACCTGGATCGCCTAAAAAAAATTCAGGCCATCAAAAACGACTTAAGGAAGAAGAGTCACCACCCCGCCATGACCGTTCCTCTCGATTCTCAGATTTTCGTGTGCTAAAGCACACGCCTTCCGCATTGTCCCCGGCCCCCAGACCAGTATTGCCTAAAATATTCTCGGGCCATCAAAAATGACCTAAGAAAAAATAGTCACTGCCCCGCCAAGACCGTTCCTACATTTTTGATGTTTTAGGGCCATAATTTTGAAATTCCGCCCGATTCTCAGATTTTCGTGTGTTGTAGCCCACGCCTTCCGCATGGGCCTGATCACATGGACCGAATCATCTATAATTTTACGAGCCATCAAAGACGACCGTATGGATCCCTCATGCAATAGATTTTGTGGGAAATTACCAGCAGTCTTGTTGAAAATTTTCAAGCCATGAAATTAAATAATTGATGAGAAATATGAGAATCCGAAGGTACGTAGGAGATCAATATATAGGTAAAATTTAATTATGATTTATCTTCATGAATATCATCAAGTTTTTATTGAAAACATGATTATCAATTTCAGAGAACAGATTTAAAAGCTATATTCCAAGTACTATAGGAGATCTCACTACACTTCGTGCTAGGGCTGCTTATCGGGCAGATTGGGTGGTTATTTACTCTTAATGGTTTGGCTTATCGGTTATTGGATTTTAAATGTATTAATCCGCTAGCCACCTGATAAGATATCGGACGGATTGATATCGATTTAGCTCTTATCGGGCGGTTTATTAGCCTAATTCAATCTATATTACACATGACGATGCTTTGAGTTCAGAGCAGACTACATTCCAGTCTATAGAATACAATAGATGAGTCCATTACATCCCAAAGCACACTACCACAACTGCAAAGGAAAAGTCAATGCTCCCTAATTAATCCTGAAATGATAAAATTTCAGTCTATATTCAAAGTGAGTCCAGAATACATATTTCAAAATGATTAATCTATAAGTGAGTAGACTAACAGAAATGTTTAATATTATATTAGTAATAGAGAATAGAGATAGACAACTGGAAGTGGAAGAATGGTTTTGATTATTTAATATATATATGGATAAAAATAAATTTTATATGTATATATATATTCTTAACGGGTTAACGGATTATCCATTAAAAATTTTGAATAATCCGCCCCCAAACCGATAAGCCGTTAATAAAAAAAATTCAATCTGTTCCCCGTCTGTTAAACCGTTAACTCGATACCAATAAGCCATTAAGCTTTGGTTTCGGTACAGTTTTCGGTTTCGGTTCAGTTTTGAACACCCCTACTTGGTGTGTTGAAATTATCTCATAATAGCTTAGAAGGTCTTATACCAGCGCCAGTGCAACATTTATCAGTACTTGAATTATTGGATCTCTCATGTAACGAAAATTGCCGAGTTCTACAACAACTTGCATCCGTCACATCGCTTGAAGTCTGAAGAGAGGCAAATCCAAGAAAATGCTGTAACTGCTATTCTTAACCTTTCTATATATGACGACAACAAAAGAATTATAATGCTTGCTGTCACAACGAAACCAAACAAGTTATTATAATGCAACCTCCGAGAAGGATAGAAGCCAAGAAACAATATAGTCTTCTGTAGTGAATTTAGGTAATGTTAGTAAAATGATTATTTGGTTTACGTATTTCAGGCATGATAATTTGGTTTACGTATTTCAGACTCCAAATTTAGAAACAAGTAGAACCTACAATATCTCAGACTTATGAGATACCAGAAAATGTATGGTGGAGTCGCGTTATATCGTATGTATTTCAAGCTATTTACTAGACCATATCTGGAAAGGCTTCCATTAAGTATCTTCACCTTCTTCCTAGAAAGTGATCTCTAGAGCATAGACTCATAAGCTACATACTGTAATAATACCATGCATCTGCAAATTTATTCCAGAAATATACTATGGATCTTCAAGTGCTATATATATTATATTCATATATAATAGCAGTAGAATAAATTCCGGAAAGGGCCGCACCACAAGAGTTGTGATATAGAAGTCTACCCTAATGCAAGCATTAGTGGTTCCACGCTTGAACTTTAATGAGGAAGAAGGGAATAAAAATGGATCCCTGATTTAGTGGAACTTAATCTCTTAAAAATTTTATTAACAGTACGAAATTCCCTAATTATGCCAAAAATGTAAAATAAAATGCTACTCCATATTTTAAAAAGTCCAATAATTATGTGTATATTTTATATTTTAAAACGTGTAAAAATATGGGCTCAAACAAATTTCTGCAACTCAACTAAGCGAAAAGAAAAAGATATCACTTGGGGTAAATCATTAAACTAGACAAATGGAGGGAGAAAATCCTTTATTTTTATATTTTTGTTTTATTGTTTATGTAAATGGAAACAATACAACATTAACAAATCAAGCTCTTGTCATATATATAAAAAAAATATGTGAAAAACCCCCCCTCTCATATGCCTACTATTACATCTATGGCTTGTATGGAGAAGGCATGGGCAAACTCTTAACAATACCGCAAAGAGGGTGGTTGTCAGGGAGGTTGTACTCATCCCTCAAGGAGCGAGCTGGTGAGAGAACACTAAAGTAGAGTTGTTGTCCTAAGTAGAACCTCTCCCACATCTCTGATCTCAAGTTCCATAGTCCAGCGTTGTCTAGGGTTGTCATCACCGCGGCCCATGAGTTTGGATAGACTTGGATGCTGTGCCTGCTTACTGCATCCACCAAGTTGTAGTTCTTTCTTTTCTCTGGACTCCACCTCCCTGGCTCGATGGCCACTGCGAAAAAGGAATATCCGTCCAAGTGATAGGTTTGGATGGTCTTCTCCCGGTTCTCAAAGATGATCTCTACAAAGTTACGGAAGGTGGCATTCTTGATATTGGGGGCGACAGTCACCTTGTTCAGGTCGTCAGTTTGGGGTTCATCAGCCATGAGATCATACTTGAACAGCTTCTCGGTGGCTCCGAAGTATTCAGCAAGCTTGAATGGGGTTTCTGCAGCAGCAGTGTGGGAGATACCGTTCAAGGCAAATCGAAGCTTTCCATCTACTTCGCTCCTAGAGTTGACAATCTTGAAAGTGCGGGTGATGTTGATCTGTCCGTAGTGGTAGGATCCTTGAGGGTTGGGGCGGGCAGCACTAGCAGTAAGGTTCCATCTGAAGGAGCGAAACTGGTTAATGGACCAAGCAATGCCTTGGGTGTTTTCTGGTGGAGGTGCTGGGAGGTCAGAAGATGCTGGTCCCTTGCCATTGGCATATCGAATGATAGCCACGGAAGAGAGTTGTGCTTGCTTCAGGAACCTACTAGAAACAATCATGTAATAGTCCTTGGGCTCTTGATCAGCAGTGACCAACACCGAAAGGCATTGACCAACATGGAGGTCAAGGGACTCATAGACGTTCTGCACAGTGTGGGATCCCTCCATTTCCACCAACTTCATGGGGTGGCCTTGAATCCTGACGTTGACTGATGTCCTCATGCCAGCATTGCACATCCTGTACCTATAGGTCTTGCCAGACTCCATGGTGAAGAGTGGCTCAGCAACCTTGTCACCGACCTTGAGTGATTTTCCATTGATGTGGATGCCATCGGGTCTGCCAATTGTGCGTCCCCCATCTAAGATCTTCTTCAACGACTTGTAACCCTTGTTGTACCAATCACCCACAAATACGTTATATTCATCGGCAGGGCTATCAAAAGGAACGGGAATAAGGGCACGGCTATGGACATTGATGGCACCAAAACCACCAGCAGCACGATGCAAGTCTGTTGTGGGGAAGTAGAAGAAGCTACCGATCTGGTCCTTGACTTGGAAGCGGTAGGTGAAGTTTGTACCGGGCATGATCGGGCACATGGTTCCTGGGGTACCATCTTGCCACGAGTTCTTCCTTTGTTGGACACCGTTCCAGGTTAAGAGCAAGGGCTCATCTAGATTGTTGAAGACATTGACAACAATGTTGTTATTGGAGGTGCAGTTGATCTTGGGCCCTGGAAGCTGCCCGTTTATGAGGATGCCCTGTAGTGGCACACCCAATGGAGCAATTGTCCCGTAGGTGACATTCCACTCAAAGAAGAGGTAAGGATCCTCAGCTTTCACCACCACAACAGAGAGGCAAACTAGCAAAGCAACAACTGTAAAACTAGTTCTCTCCATTTTCCCCTATCCCTAATCTCACACCTTTTTCTTTTCTTTTTTTTTTTTTTATATTTATTTTTTTATTCTGACAAAGAAGAAGAGGGAATATTTCCTTCTTCTTCCTTTTTTTAGTTGCTAGAGCTTGCATTTTGTACCTTCTCCTTGACGCCTTTTATACCAGTGATTTCCCTCTTGGGACCATTCGTTCATAATTAACTACCGCGATGATCTCTGTGGCTCTCCTTATATTCTTGACTCCATTTTCGCGTTCCCTCTTCTTCGTTTACTAATACTATTTCTCCTTGAATTTCTCCTCTTAATTCTTTTCCTTCATATTAATTCTTATTCTAATGTGGACTTATTCTTCTCGAAAGATTTGCAAAATGAGTGGTACAATTCTCCTCTCGTTGCAATAGAAGTGATAGAATTAGTTACCACTCTTCTTTTTTTAAAGAAAAAGAACGTTTTCCAGTCTTTTTCTTTCTTCTGTTCCTATGCCTGATAATACAGATGGAAGTATGAATAAATGTTTTCCTTCTTAAGTTTTTGTAGTCATTAATATGCAAAAAATAATAATAATAATAATAATAATAATAATAATAATAAGTAAAGTCTAAACATTGGGATACTACTTCCCTTTTATAACTCAATAACAAGAAACAATACTATTGTACATGGTAATATATATATATATATATATATATATATATATATATATATATATATATATATATATATATATATATATATATATATTCCTATAGTGGGGATGTACTAAACAAATTATTACGAATAAAAATCTTCCGTTCATTTGTTTATTGTAGTATAGTTCTATTTATTGTAGTAATAGTTGTATAAACTAACTATGGAAAAGGTCCAAATATACACTTGTACTATGAGAAAAGGTTTAAATATATCCCTCATTATACTTTGGGTCCAAATATCCAAATATATCCTTGTCGTAATACTATTGGTTCATATATGCCCCTATTATATTAATTAAGTTTGTCCAATATGAACATCTAATCCTACGTAGCACTGATATTTGATGAGGTGGATGACACGTAGCATGCCACCTCAGCGCCCCTATCCCATTTTACCTCTCCCATCTATTTGTTTTTCTACCACTAAAATTATTATTTTTTCACCACTAAAAATTTCTTTCCTCCGTCACCATTGCCACCATAACTGCCACCATGAACTATATTGAATTTCTAGCTAGTCAACTCAGACCAAATCGATGTATCTTAACAGTATGAGATTTAATGTTGCCCATTTGTAAATGCTTTGAACACTTGGATCTGCAAAAAAATATTTCAATTGTCACCACAATATCACGCACTAGTAATACATAAAGAGATTATCTAGTTTCTCGAGGAAGAGAACTACCTGAAATTCGAAAACTGTATACAGTCGAGATCGTATGCCTTCGATCTATATGCTCGAGAGGTCGTCCGAGTTCAGGCAAGGTCGAGTTCGAGCTCGAGGGATTAGACCCGAGTTCGAAGACAGAGCACGATACATACCGAGATCGAGTATGCTCGACCCTAGAATACTACCGGTATGGACTTGTAACAGAATGGGCTAGATTCCTGCCACGTCCCCAAGATCACGGCGCAAATCGCGGAATAGGATTGTACTACTCCGTACTAGGCGGTTAGACAGTTGTACCAAGAATATTCCTTACTGTAAATAGAAATATACCTTATTTAGGGTTCTCCTATTATATAAAGGGGACCCCCAATCATTTGTAAGATCATCTCATCATTGGGAAAAATATACTATCCTACTTTTCTCTCTTACTGTTCATCAGAATTGTTCTTTAGCTCTACTGCTCTTACTTTACTTTTCTTATTTAATTGTTCTAATTGCTCTGAACAAACCTCGAGGTCACTTAGCTCGAGTTCACCGCTGCTGAGTAACTTTGGTTTGATTCACTTGTTTCTTTCATTTCTACTTCATATTTCTTTATTACTAATTGGTAACGAATCTAATGACATATCTTTAAAACCACAAATCAAATTTAATTGTTACTCGTATTTTGAGGTATATAGTTTGGCGCCCACCATGGGGCTAAAGATAATAGAGATTGTTTCTTTACTGATTCTCATTACACACTATATTTTTACACTTTTTCTTGTCAAGAATATTTGATTCTCAGGCTGAAACATGCTAGCTCACAAAATGCATCTGTTCATGACAACGAAGGTCTTGGTGAAAATAACAATATAGGGGTCGGAGTACCACCAATAAACAGCTGGGGAAGTGCCAAACATAGAATCGATTGATGTTAGTTCATATATTGCTCTAAACGCGGATTTGGCACAGACCCCGGAGGGAGTGTACATAGGGAATCCAGACCTGGTGGCCAAGGAACACAAGGAGGGGGTGATGGGGGAATCAACCTCCAAGTGATATTCGAGATGCTGCAAGCTCAACAGATTGCCATTGCTCAGCTTCAAAGTCAAAATAAGATTCCGAGTGTAGCTGAACATGAAAACAATCGACGTGCTGAGCCAGTGCCAAAAAGGTCAAATGGAAACGACTCAGGGACTGCTCGAAGAGCTCACTAAGAGGATCGAGTCCGGAGAAAAGAAAATTGAAGACAATTATAAGAAGGTGGAGACTTATAACTCCCGTGTAGACCAGATACGGGCACCTCCAGTTTTGAAAGATTAGACGCCAAAAAGTTCATACGAAAACCGTTCCCTCACAGCGCGGCTACGATGCCCATTCCCAAAAAGTTTCGCATGCCTGATATACCCAAATATAATGGAACGATCAACCCCAACGAGCATATTACTTCATACACTTGCGGGATCAAAAGAAATGATTTGAATGACGCCGAGATTAATCAGTCTTGTTGAAAACGTTCGGAGAAACATTGTCGAAAGGAGCCATGATTTGGTATCACAACTTACCTCCTAACTCTATTGACTCATTTGCTATGTTAGCAGACGCCTTCGTGAAAGCACATGCCGGGGCCATAAAGTGGCCACGAGAAAATCGGACGTCTTCAAGATAAAACAAAGGAACGACGAGATGTTGAGGGAGTTCATGTCCAGGTTTCAGATGGAAAGAATGGATTACCACCGGTCTCCGATGATTGGGCAGTACAGGACTTTATGCAGGGTTTGAACGAACAGAGCTTAATTGCATCTCGGCAGTTAAAGCAGAATTTAATCGAATATCCTGCTATGACATGGTCAGATGTGCATAACCATTATCAATCGAAGATTAGGGTCAAAGACGACCAGTTGGGAGCCCCTTCGGGTTCAGTTCATCCTAACAGATTCACAGCCAAGCCCCCGAGTGACACAGACAGGGAATCGAGATTCAACAAAGAACGATATTAGCCATATGTCGATCGGAGGAACAACGGCCCGAGACATAATGCACCTCGGAACAATCGGAAAAATGTTCGAGGTCAAAGTTCTCAGGGACTCATGAGTAAGAGCGGGTTCAATAAACATACCGACCCAGCAGAGGCATCCCGACTATCGGAGTACAACTTCAGCATAGATGCATCGGGGATTGTGTCAGCTATTGAGAGAATCAAGGATACCAAGTGGCCCAGGCCTATATAGATCGATCCTTCTCAAAGGAACCCAAACTTGATGTGTAAGTATCATGGCACACATGGTCATAGAACAGAAGATTGCAGGCAGCTAAGGGAAGAAGCGGCTCGGCTATTCAACGAGGGTCACCTTCAAAAATTCCTCAGTGATCGAGCCAAATACCATTTTAGGGAGAGAGATTCAAGAAGAAATGAGCAGTAAGAATGTAATCCACATGATCGTTGGTGGTAGTGATATCCCATAGAGACTAGTGTTCAAACACACCAAGGTGTCGATCACAAGAGAGAAACGGACTCAGAGCTATGTGTCCGAGGACGCCTTATCATTCTGTGACGAGGAAGCAGAAGGCATATCTCAGCCTCACAATGACGCCCTGGTAATCTCTATCCTTTTAAATAAATTTCAAGTTAAACGTATTTTAGTGGATCTAGGTAGCTCAGCGAACATAATCAGATCGAGGGTCGTGGAACAACTCGGCCTACAAGATCAGATTGTACCTGCATCCCGGGTCCTAAATTGCTTCAACATGGCAAGCGAGACAACAAAAGAAGAGATTATCTTGCTAGTAAATGTAGCCGGGACAATACAAGACACTAAATTCCATGTCATCGAAGGTGACATGAGGTATAACGAACTCGTCGGGAGACCACGGATACACAACATGAGGGCAGTGCCCTCAACTCTTCACTAGATGATGAAGTTCCCGACGGAGGAGGGAGTGAAAACAGTCTACGGAGAGCAACATGCTGCAAAAGAGATGTTTGCGGTCGAGGAAGTGGTGCCGATACTAGAGCCTTCGACCTCGGAGAAATCGAGAACCAAAGGTAAGCAGGCGACCAAATAGCAATCACCATCCCCAGCCTTGACGGAATCGGAGCGACAGGTAATCGAGGACGAAAAAAAAGATTTCCTTACTCCTCAAACCTTCGTCGTTCCCGAAGAATCTGATGCAACCAAATAAACTGTCGAGGAGCGAGAGGAGGTCATTTTGATTGAATATTTGCCCGAAATAAAGGTATACCTGGGAAGGGGATTGACCCCCGAACTTAGGAAAAAACTCATTCAATTTCTTATTGATAATATGGATTGCTTTGCTTGGTCCCATTTAGATATGACAGGGATTCCACCAGAAATCACCACACATCGGCTAAGCACCGACCCCAGGTTCAAACCGGTGAAGCAAAAAAGGAGACCTCAGTCCAAGGTAAAGCATGCTTTCATAAAAGATGAGGTAACCAAACTTCTTGAAATAGGATCCATTCGGGAGGTAAAGTACCCCGAATGGTTAGCCAACGTAGTTGTAGTTCCTAAAAAAGAAAACAAACTTAGAATGTGTGTAGACTATAAGGACTTGAACAAGGCATGTCCAAAAGATTCTTTCACATTGCCAATCAATCGTATGATTGATGCCACAGCTGGCCACGAGACCCTAACTTTTCTCGATGCCTACTCCGGGTACAATCAAATTTAGATGAACCCGGAGGACCAGGAAAAGACTTCGTTTATTACTAAGTTTGGAATTTATTGTTACAACATAATGCCCTTCGGGCTAAAAAGTGCGGGAGCTACATACCAACGCCTAGTCAACAAAATGTTCTAAGAACAAATAGGTAAAACAAT